TGAGTTCTAATCCATTAGACGTAAACATTGAATGGATAACAGTTTGCAGGCGCTAACCCAGTGCACTATGCGGTAGCCAGTTCATTCTAATGCAACGGACAGAATATCGCGTTTCTCAAGGCGCATTGCTCTCGAAGAATTAACTATCTTAAAAGCTTGAATATCCCCATGATAGCATTGAGAAAACGAGTCGGTGAGCGAACAATTGTTTTCGGATATTCCTAGTCATGCTCTTACATATCATATGGTGGAAAAAATTCTTACATAATCATAGCCATCGGCTCATTTTAAAGTCAATATTCGGAGGTGGAGAGNTAATGGGAGTGTGTATGTGTAGGAATGTTTAGCGTGTTAGTTGATGTGACCTTTCCCCACTTGGGTCAAGTGACACGTCATGTTCTGTCTTGGTTTTCACACACGGTCAAGGCAATTGGAGCGCCTGCACCAATCGCTTTTGGGCACACAGATCGGGGCCTAGTAAGCGAATGACGATCTCCTCGGCCATAGCTAGTGTCCAAACTCGGGCCGCCCTTGAGCGATTGATTGGGATGCGATAAACCACATCAAAAGCTTTCTCCGGATCGATCTTGTGGCCGGTGTCGACGAGATGCCCCACAATGGCGCTTGAGATACAGCCGGTTTTTCCCTGACCCAACCATCGCGGGTGGTGCTCTTTAACACGTTGAGACAAACGCCGTACCGTACGACCTATGTAACATGCGCCACAGACGCACTTAAAAGAGTAGGCTATCATGGATGAGGTCAGTTTTGGCAGTTTGCCTTTACTTAACTATCATCTTATAGGTGATTTTCCAAGCAATACGAGTAGTTCACGGTACTCTAAGGCGTTTCACCAAGTAATAATACAACGACTAGTATAGAACAGCAGACAATTTCCTTCTTTTTTGATTTCCTCTACAGGTGGTTTCGTTGCCATGCAAGATGTCACCGCATATCGCGAAGTGGCCAAACAACTTGGAAGTCCGGTCGTTGATCGCCTCTTTGACGTGCTGCTGAAGCTAATGAATCTCATGTTAATTAAACCAGAAAACGTACAACAGGTGACACAAGACTATCTTCAGTCAGGCATTCCCCGCGAACTGCTACAGGGTTTTATTCAACTCCGTGCGGATTACAAGCAGACAAAGACACAGTTGGATATGGCGGGAAAACTCCTTCGATAAGTATGAATAATGTTTATTTGCAATTATCTATTGTGCTGTGACTTTCTTAATTATATCACTTCTTTGCGCTCCTTGATCACTCAGTTCTTGAATAATTGAGAGATATTTTCGATCAAAAAGACTTTTTGCGGTTAAAGGCGGTGTCATTGGGGTTTCAGCTCTCCATTCCACATAAGGCTTTAATTCACTTTTGGCCAGATTTGGCGGGACGATAAACTCCATGGTCATTTCAGGTAGTTCAATAATTTGTCCGTGAATTGTCGCTGTTGTTGGGGGCTCTCTGTAATTAATATCAATAGTTCAATAAAGTCAAGACATACCTGGGGATCCAAGGAAAACGAGCGCGTTGTCGGCTTTTGTGTAAATCTAATAACCATTGATACCTATCTTTATAGCTGATTTTTTGCCGATAGCTACGAACACAGTTACGGATCACATTGCCGTTGCATCCAACGAATAAGTGCCACATATGTCTGAATGAGGAATAGTTGAAATATTAATTCAGTCATTTATCCAAACAAAAATGGTGCTCCGTTTCGCAGTTGTGCACAAAATTTTATCAGAGCTATGATCACAGGATAGTGCAAAACGCTTTCGCTTTACTGATGAAAAATACTTCATTCTGATGGACAGGAGCAATCAATTTTGAGTTTTCCGTAATCTAATCTGGTGGGATTAATGGTACCACTTCGCAAGTGGACTTTCCAAGAAAACCAACCAACTTGCAGATGAGTTAGGTTCATTGGCAGATCCAATAACTTGAAATTAGCTCAGGGATACAAATGAGTCATTTTTGGCGAAACTAACAAGCCGCTTTCATATTGCAAGTGTTTCGATAGACTGACTCGGTTGTACACGAGTGAATCCGTTGCTGCTGAACAGAAGCTCACCCGAATTTGCTTAGTGCAACCATCAGTACTATCTTAGTGACAGCTCAAGAGATGATTGTAGACAATCAATCTGTTGGTGTTCGGATGCATCCGCCAAAGATTCCTTGACACGGCTGTGAAGGGACATTTATCATATCCACCGATAGCACGAGGAAGTGAAGAATGACGAAGCGTCTTGCCATTCAAGTTAACCACTTGATATGTAAAATAAGTCCCTGTAGCGCTCGCAAAGAGTAGATGGTCCATGCGAGGATAAATGACTGGAATTATCTTGATCAGTTCAGTTGTCACGATCCTTGCGTTATCATGAGACCGTTTTGATTGCCACCCATTCAGTCGAAGAATTAATGAGTTTAAATCTGGGAACACTAGGAAAAAATTGAATCCACACAGAAAGGGTACTATCCTTATCCTATTTTGTGATACCTTGATATCCGACTTGAATTCACTGCGCAAAAATTCCAGTATCTTTGGTAGGGTCGGTTCATCAGTGAAAACTGTTTAGGTTCATTAACAACTATGTAAAGGATAGACAGGGTTTATGCAGCAGTACGCCTAATACCATACTGTTCGTGAACTATTTATCCGGAGGAATCAAACACATCATAAAGGTGACAAGGAGGTTTTTCTGTAAGCGACATGAGCGAATTCCAACAGCTAATTGCAATCACATCAGCATGCTTGAGCATCTGAAAGTGCGTCGTACATTTCAACAAACGTTTACTTGACTTCCTCCAATGAAAATGAAAGTACAGTTTGTGCAGTGTATATATATTCTGAGGAAATACGACGGTTTCCGTTGTTCTCCAATCACAGCAATCACATGAGCTGCTCAGAAGGACAGTCAGTAATAACCGCCGATAATGTCTTGGCCTGGACAACCTGGGAGTATTCTGCCCACCTGCTAATGGTGGAAACATTTTTCTTTCATAATGCTTATTGTATCAGGATTTGTTCGGCACATAGCCTGGACTCAGACGTGTGTGAAACATAGATATATATGCCTCACATGCTGGTGAATAGACTTACTCTGATAATTCGAATTCTCAACGCCGCACATATTTATTTGTAATTGCTTGTTATCACATCGTTTTTATACTGCGCTCTGATACGATAAACAGTAGAGCGGTTGAACTCCATAACGAGAAAGTCTGCTGCTAGATAATAGGAACCGATGACCTAAGCCCTGGGGCATGAAAAAGATGAATTCCGTAAGGTCCCAATTGCGCCCTTTGTCGCTCAGTCTCACAAGCCAGCTGCTTGGGCACCCCCTGACTTCTTTCTTCTATCCACACTCGCCCCTGGAGAG